CCTATCAGCTAATACAGCAGCAGTGCATGCATTAACATGCTGAAATTGAAACAGAGATCAAGCCTATAGGGTATAAATTGGTTTTGGAGCATAACATGAAATAATCAAACCACRCTGGAGCAGCCTCTGTGACAAAATGACTTACATTTTTGGCGCTGCTCTTTAAATGTGATTATGCATTTTAATTGTTTCACTTCAGTCCGYGGAGTAGTTTCAAAGATGTTTTAAAATAGCTCACGGCGTGGAAAGCCTTCCTGGTTTTTAAACACGCCTCAGGTTCAATAAATTTGTTTTTAATTTTGCCTGATGTGTGAAGCAGCGATTTTGTTCAGCGCTTTTAGGGGGGTGGAGCAGGATTTTSTGAAACACTCCAGATCAACGAGGCTACAAATGTGTGAAGAAAGCAGAAATTTCCACTCTGGTTGTTGTTTTGTAGCTCTGGAAGAACACAGAGCTCTGAAAATTTCAATGTTTGGAAGAACAGGAATCTTCAAGGCCAGGCTTGGAGCAGCCTGGRGTGGTGGGAGGTGTCCCAGGGGATGGGATGGGATTTAAAGTTTGTGCTCCTCACTATTCAGAGAGCAGAAAATCATAATTTGTAGTGGCAATTGTCAGCATTTATAACCAAGTTTTTGCTTAAGATGAAAAGATGATTTAAAAAATGAGAAATGGGAGATGGTGGCATTCTGCTAAATATTTTTTGCCGATGCCTTTTGATTTAGAAGTGCTCAAAATGGAATTTAACAGGAGTTTTGTTGTGCAAGGACTTTGATTTCCGACATTTCTTGCTAATGAGCAGCACTAATAATCAAACTCATCAATCCCCTTGAATCCCAAAGTGTTTTCAGTGGGAATGTGGGGGGAAGGCCTCGATCATCTCTGGGATCTCTTGGAGCAATTCCATCCTCATGCTCATGTTCATCTCCACAGCTGCTCAGTAGAAAAGTCTGAAACTGCTGCATTGACTTTGATTTAAAAGTGGTTCCAACCTGAAAAAAAACCCAACCAGTTAATGTGAAGGTCTGGCATGAAAATACAATTAAGGACCTATAAAACCAGATTTTCCAAGCTTCCACAGTTTTCTCCTTCACTGCCAACTGCAAGGAATCTGAAAGATCTCGCTAAGGGATTCTGAAAATTCAGAAAAATTTTTACTGAAATATTCAGTTAAAAAGGCGAGAGCTGGGACTACTCAGAAAAAAAAACAAAAAAACAAAAAAACAAAAAAAAAAAATCAAAAATCGGTACCTTCTGATATGACAAATAATTTGGAAAAGGGACTCAGATAGAATTTGCAGAGCAGCAAATCCTGTTCAAGGATCTGTGGTTAATTAACTTTTAAGACACCCMCAGTTCTCAGCTGCATGGTGCACGTGTTGAATTTATTAAAATGACACATCTAGCTGTAACCCTCTGAGGAGAACCTGATTTAGTTTTTGTCTCATTTAAGATCCCAGTGTTGTCCATTTTAATAAATGTTGACAGCATTTGTCACTAATTTCAATCTTTGCATTCCCATTAATTTTTTAACAACATTTGGTCTGATTTATTATACTTCTGGAGTGTTTATAAGAGCTAAAGTATCTATCCCCATTCTTTATATTCCTAATGATCAAATTTTATTTACTCTAAAACCTAAATTAGAGTCAGAAATTAAAAAAGAAAATCTCAGCAAGCATCAGGTGTTTTAAAAACAGTTTGGCTTAAAGCCCAGGAGGTGATTTGTGCTTTAAATTCTTAATTTCTGTTAATTTGTTAATTGTAAGCAAAGCCTCAGTACCCTGTGCAGYACGGGGGTCCTTACAGCTYCAACCCCACATYAAARGAAACAGAATAATTAWTAATTAATAATGAATAAYRAACCTGAGCAGCGCTGCTCCTCAYACTGAGYGTGCCACTAGAAGGCACCATCTGCTAGAAAGTCAGAAAAAGGGAAAAGTTTCATTCTTTAATTCCACATGAACACCTCCAGGAAAGCTGCAGGCTCAGGGGTTGGAGAAACACCAGGCAGCGTCTCTGGCTGTGGTTACAGCTGTTTCACAGCCAAGCTGTAGAAAATCAACATTATTTTCCTTTGGAAGGCAGTGCCAAATGGATTTAAAGACTGAATTCCAGGAGTTTTCAAGTCTGGAGGAAGACTGATGCCTTAGGATTTTTTTTAGCTTTTCTATTTCCATTTCTCTGTGTTCTTGTACTTCTCACAGCACTAAAACTCCTGTTTTCCCATCTTTAGACAAAACAATTCCTCTCTGAGCCTGAAATCCAAGGACACCTCGCTGCCTCAGAGCCCCAAAATATCAAAAAAAGGGAGAGAATTGAGGGAAGCAAAATTGGGGTGGGTAACATCATCACCTGCAGGTGTCATTGAAGAATTGGGGCCCGAAATGTTYGTGAGACAGAATTAAAAAGTGAAGATCTCATGACTCGGGGTCCATTTTGGGTGTAGCCTCATGAAGAGGTTTTTTGTACCAGTGGGCCTGGATTCAATTTGTCTGCTTTATTCTCTTCACTTTGCCAGGCYCCTGTTTGGGGTGAGCCCTGTTTTAGGCATCAAGATCAGTGAGTGACCAGGACAGCCAAGGTTTGGAGGGCAGGACGCTCACATCTGCTGATTTCCACAGGAATTTTTGGCAAATCAATCCCCCATGGCTTATCCCCCTGAGGAGGGGACCAAGGAGACTTTCCTGGGGTTAAGGCTGAAAGAGTGAGTCTAAAAAAGGACAGGAAACATCAGTTGGCACAAACACTCCCAAAAGCAGAGTGGAGGGATGAATTCCAGCCATTTCTCTGTCCCTTGGCACACAGTGACACTGGCCAGGAGCTGGGGATTTGGGCTCCCCCTGAGGAAGGGARGCTCCAAACCTGGCTCTGTCACAGTTCAGTGTGTCACTGCTTCGTCCAGGGCCTGCACCAGATGCTGAAAGCTGCCTGCACAGCCTTATTTACTGTACATTGTCTTTAGGGCAGAGATTAAATGAAAAATCCTCTTAAGGATATCATAATTCTGGATGGTTTATCACCGAGCCAAAGTGTTTCAAAATATTTATTAGAACACTGCTCCTCTGCACAGAGTAACATTTCTGAAATTAAGACACCAGAATAGATGAAATCTTCAATTTTATTGGTGTTGCCCTGTGCAAAATAACAGCTCCTGTGGTATTTGACTTATTTCTGGTTCTCAGGTCYTAATTCCAGTCAAAACCAGYCCTGCTGTTAAARAYTGGCTGCAGAATCTGTGGTTGAAGGCTTRCATTGTGTCACTCCTAATTCCTGTCACAGAAAAWCACAGATTCTATTTGCTATTCCTAATGCAGAACTTTTGTGAAWCAGCATCGACRCTTTGTAGGCACCTGGAGAGTTTGGAAATCACAGCTCTGTCCTCAGGAACAGTCGAAATGGCAAAATATCCCTACTGAACAACAACTGGAATCTTTGCAATGACTGGAAAAAAAATACAGCTGCTTCTTAGAGCTGAAGTAACTTTCCAGGAAGTTATTTTGCCACAAAAAAAAAACAAACCATTAGGAAAGCAGGGCTACTGCTGTGCTGAGGGGAGGGTGCAGGGAAATCCAGCAAGGACCATTTGAGCCCCAGGAAGGACAAAGCCAGGAGAGGATTTATAACATCACACACCAGAAATGATGAGAGAATGGACATAAATTAACATCATACAAAATCATCCTGCACTTTCATACACTTTCCTATGAATTTGGTCTTTAYTCTAATCACCTGCCAAAGTCCAGATCTGCCAGGGCATGAATCACCACCCTTTTATTACAGAGCACACTGTATTTTCAGACTGTGCTAAACCCTTTTTCTAACTCAGASCTAAATACAATCTCACCCATAATCATACCCTTACACCAGACTGTGCTTTAACACATGACCTGACTATTTGTTACCACATAACAATTTATTAGATTTCTTGAAATGGCATTACAAAGAACCCAAGGCTGGTATYACAAGTCTATATCGATACATTTCTCATGTTCACAAAATTCCCCCGTAATTATGAGCTTTTATTACAATGAGTTTGGAAAAATGACCTGTCATATTGCCTTCAGAGCACCCAGGTGCTAATTTGGTGGCATTCAAGGACCAGTTGAATGTGGGCCACATTCAGCTGCTGCCTGCCACGAGTGCTTGCTGGAATTTGCATTTGAAGCTGGAGCAGCATTGCAGTGATTGTCAGGAATAGCTGACATTGGTCATTTTTCTTCACAGGTGACACAGTACAGACTCTCCCAAAGACACTTTCCATTGTCAAAATAATATAACCTATTAAACTCCAGGCTCGAAGATGTGGGTGTGATTAGAGAAGAAAATGCTTCTCTGAACCAATTTTGAAGTTGTTATTCCAAGAGAAGCAAGGATTAAAAAATATAACTGAATTCTCTCCTTTTTTGTTCCTCAGTGCATTACTGCTTTGTCAGCAAACCTTTTCTGTCCAATGGGTCAGGGATTTGCACTGAAAACCCACACAGCCATTGCCACAATCCCATCCCTGCTGTGCCAATCCCAATCCCTCAATCCCAGTTATCCATCACAGGTTCCACACAGAGTGTCAGAATCCTTCAATCCCCAGTGAGATTGCTCACAGCTCACTGTCCCTTGTCTGTCCAGGTGTCACAGCTCCCATGGCAGTGCTTGCTCAGATCTCTCTGCATTTCCTGTGCTCCAGGAATGCTCAGCTCAGGTAATCCCAGCAGCAGGAGAGATGATTTTGATTTTGTGCAGCGTCTGATGTTTCCAAAARCCACCTCATGACACGGATGAAAAACAACACAATCCTCAACAAGCGAATGCCTGATGCTCAGAGCTACAATTAATGCAATTAATTAAGTTTCAATCTTGTGCTTCACTCCACAAACTCACGTAGGACAAGGCAAGATTCCCGTTTGGTGGGAGTCACTAAATGCTGAGCTATCAAACACGAAACGTCTAGAAAAGTACAGGAAAGAGAAAAAAAGTGACTCCACAAGAAAAAATACACCCAGGAGTTGAGATCCGTAAGATCTGTGTTTTAATAACACAACCGAGTGATCCTCATAACAAGAATTCAAAAAGKGAAATTACAGTACACAGACCAAAATAGAAACTACCCTACCCCAACTATACAATGTACATTAGGAATGCAAGCTCTGTAACAATATAAAAATGCTTTTACACACAGGAGTTGCAAAAAGCCATTCTTTAATTCCAAGGATTTGTAGAAAAAAAAAAGAAAAAGTCATCTTCCACGATTCATCTTGAGTTATTGGCAACCTGTTGTGGGAAAAAYAATAAGAAAGGAGATTACTGAGAATTAGGAGAATCATGCTCATCACAGATTTTTCATTTGTGGGGTTCAGGTTAAAGTTATTTCCAGTGTCAGTGGAAATGGCATTGAGRGCAATGAAGCCCATAATAATTAGTATTTTTGTCAAAGTATCAGAAAATATATGTACTTTAAGAAGAATATATCTGTTGCAAACACACAGGGGCAAGTCAGCAATTAAGAAATGCTGTAAGAATATATAGTTTAACTTTTGATAAATCTCTTTTTGCAGGGAGCACTACCCTGGGACACGCATTGCCTCACGCCTGAGCGCTCTCTTACCCTGCCAGGATCTGCTCTTGGCAGTTCTGTGTGAATCACTGCTCCCTGCAAGCTCCTGCCTTACACACAGGAGGGATTTACAGCTCCTCCTCAGCAGCCCCTGTGGCTCCACCACCTCCCTGGGCAGTCTGTTCAATGCCTGACCACCTTTTCCATGGAGAAACTCCTCCTGAGGTCCAGCCTGACCCTCCCCTGGCGCAGCTTGGTGCTGTTTTCTCTCTCCTGTTGTTCCTTGGGAGCAGAGCCTGACCCTCCTGGCTGTCCCCTCGTGTCAGGGAGTTGTGCAGAGCCACAAAGTGCCCCCTGAGCCTCCTTTTCTCCACAGCTGAGCCTTCTCAGCAGCTCCAAACCCTTCCCCAGCTCCATTCCCTTCCCTGGCCCTGCTCTCTATTTCTCCTCTCCACAAATCCCACGGCACCTCACAAACAAAGAACAGCTCTCTCTGTTAAAACCAGCAGCTTCAAACAGCCACGGGTTTGTTCCAAAGCCTCACTTTAACCCTTGTTGGAAGCCGGGGTCTTGTTCTCTCCCTCGAGCTCCTCCACCCCCGCCTGTGTCATGAGGTCGGCGATGTTCTTCTCCAGGTCATCGATGCGGCAGCTCATGTCATCGACTGCCCAAGGGGTCAAGGAAAGGACAGGATTGGGGTATGGAATGGCAGAAAGGACCCTAAATCCCATCCAAACCACCCCTGCAACTCTCCCAGTGCCTACAAAGTGTGGATGCTGTTTCACAAAAGTTCTGCGTTAGGAGTAGCGAATAGAATCGGTGTTTTTTCCGTGATGGGAATTGGGAGTGACACAATGCAAGCCTTCAGCCACAGATTCTGCAGCCAATTTTTAACACCAGGGATGGTTTTGAGCGTGGAATTAAGACCTGACACCATCCCAGGTGCTCCAAACCCCATCCAACCCAACCTTGGATGTGTCCAGGAGCAGCCACAGCCTCTCTGGGCCTCCCCACCCTCACAGGGAAAGGCGACATTGGCTCCATTTAATTGTTTTTATTATTACAGCTTTGCTCAAACTTTCTATTTATCACTTTAAATTTCTCTAACAAACCCCCCGCTGACAGGCAGAATTCATGGTACTTATAATCCTGCACCCGTCTGAGTTTAGAAAAGGATATTTCTTCCAATGATTTGGTCAGACATGGTTTGAAATTTGTCCTGCATCTGCTGGAGTAATGTCTGCACCTAATACAAAGGGAAAAAAGAAATGTTTTGTTTCCGTCCGAGGCTGTTAGAGTATCCACTCTCGTGCAATAAATAGAATGTTCTTTCACTGCTGAGCACTAAACTTTGCAGTATCATTATAAATATATAAACGGTACTTAAATACATGTACACAGAGGAGAACTGACGATGTCAGGAAACATTTGTAAGATCTACAAAACGCCCGTGTTCCATAGGCA